TGAGGAACCCAAGAGGCTCTCCAAGAGGCCCCCAAGAGGCCCCCAAGAGGCCCCAAGAGGCCCCCAAGAAGCTCAAAAGAAGCCCCAAGTACGACTTGAGGCATGTAACTTCTAACCCGCAACCCAGGAGCCAAGGATCTCAGGCCGACAACCAAGGCGCGGTGGCGGGATGGGCCGAAGGCCACTCTCTCCATGTATATGTACATGTCTATGTCTGTGTATATGAGTATATAAATGTAACTGTACATGTACTTGTATCTGTAATTATAACTATACCTATACATGTGTATGTATATGTTTATGTATACGTATCTGTAATGTATATGCATATGTCTATGTATATGTACATGTACATGTACATGCATGTGTACACATATATATATATATATGTATATGCATATGTATTCGTATATGTACATGTACATATGTATGTTAGTGTGTATGTGTATGTGTATGTATATGTGTATGTATGCATGCATGTACGCATGCATGTATGTATGCATGTATGTATGTATTTATGTATGTATGTATATATATATATTTATGTGAACTGCCGCGGGCATGTACCTCGATCGAGAAGAAGAAGAAGAGGAGAAGGACGGGGAGGAGGAGGAGGAGGAGGAGGAGGAGGAGGAGGATGAGGAGGAAGAGGAAACAAGAAGAAGATTTCGTCGTCGCCGCCGATGTCTCACAGATTTTCGTGGTCTTTCGACCACCCAAGGCATCTCCTCGAATTCTTCAGCCTCCAAGAACCGTTTTCGGTGCCGGGGGCCACCGCCGAAAGTCCGGGATGAGGATCGATTTCCCTGGCCGGTGCCACACCTTCGCACAGGAAGGAACACGGGGTGGATCGAGGCTCGAGGCATGAGACTCCTAGTTCTTGGGCGCTCTCCGCCCCCTCTGGGCCTTCAGGAAACTCCTCGTCGACACAGCTGGGTCCACTCTCGAACTTCTGGCCGGACGCAACCCCAGCTGGGTCTCAACGATGCCCGAGCCTATCCAGGAGGTGGAAAAGGAGGCCTGGGACAGGCCCCATGAAGGCCCCAAGAAACTCACATAACAACACGAAAACTTCAAAGCAATCCCCTACAAGGTCCCCCCTTGAACCCCAGACGCTACTTAGGACAAGCCGAAACCACAAGATTGCCCAGCGATCGCGCGCGTTCCGCGAATTCTGTCTTTCACTCTTGCTCCCGCCCCAAGGGGTCGGCGGTGCGGCGTAAGCCAATGAATCTGGATCATACGCGGACGCCCCGCGATCACTTCTCATTGGTTTCTGACAGGGACGGCGGGGGGGCCGGCATATTGTCTGCTGTGTGCATTTGCCAACACTCCCCAGCCACCCCTAGCAAAAAACATGACATAGTGCACCCTGCACCAAAAACTGGATCTTGCGCGGAGGCCGCGCGATCGCTCTGCCTGGTTTCTGGCTTGGACGGCGGGGGGGGCAGCAGCTTGCCTGCTGTGCGGAGACCTATAATCCCTCTCAAGAGAAAAAGCAAAATTCTTTTCACTTCGCCAGGGACGGCGGGGGGGGCGGCGGCATACTGCCTCCTGTGTCCAGGCCCAGTATCTCCGGCACAAGCAGGTGCAACGCTGTTGCGGGTGCACGCCCAATGCTTCCCGATGTGCGCTTGCGCACCTGGCACATTCTGCGCGTGCCCCGAACGTGGCGCACCTGGCACGGCTGGAGCATGCGGCAGTCTTGGCGCACTTAGAGCCTGTGGCGCATCTGGCGCACCTGGCGCGCCTGGCGCGCGGGGCGCGCGCCTGGCACGCGGGGGGCACCTCGCTCCAGCGTCGCGCATCTGGGGCATGTGTCGGTTCCCAATAGCTGTCCATCCAAACACGATCGCTGAATGTGCTGCAACTCTGGTACTACTGATATGTTGGGAAGGCGGGTGGGAGTGAGCCAAACAGTTTGCGTCTAGGAAAGGTGGCTTGCTCACTGTTCCTGATGAATGCGCCCCCCACCCCCCGCCCGACCGGCGACAACCCCGGGACAAGGAGGGCCCCCCAGCCATCAAAGTCAAGCAACATTTCGAAATACGGATTGCTGCAGAATCTGGACCGTGCGCGGGTGCTCCGTGAGAACTGTGCATGGGTTTTTGGCATCGACCGCGGCGGTGCCCTTATCCGCTATGCGCAGACCCGCCACCCCTGTCAAACCACCATGCAAAGTACACTGCGGGGCAAAAGCTGGTTCGTGCGCGTGGTCCGCGATCATTTTGCAGTGGTCTTGTCAGAAGGGGTGGCAGGGGGGGGTCCCTCATCTTTACTGCCCTGTGTAGGTTCGCGATCCCTGATCAGAAGCCAGACCCAATGCACTTACGTCTGGAGCATGCGCGGGCGCCCCGAGATCACTCTTTCCATCTAGCTTCTGAAAGGGACGGCGGGGGTGTCCTCACAGTGTCTGCTCTGTGCAGATCCACAATCCCTGACAACAGCCTCACTAGAAAGTGCACTTTGCGGCAAAATCTCTGGACCATGCGCGGGCGCTCAAGTCCGAAGTCTCCCCCACCGAGCAATCAATAATGAGCTTCCCCTTCCCCGTCCCATTCTCTTTGGCTGCCGTCCGTCGGCTTTGTCTTTTGACTGGAATATGATGCGTTCTCACACGCCCGTCTAGGCCCGAAAATGCAAAGAACAAAAAAACTGGTTCCGAATTCTGTTTGCTCAAGCGGCTTCAAGGAAGAGCGCTTGCTCGGCACTGCGCTTCCGACGTAACTAATGAACTCGGTGGGATCGGGGCCCCAAGATCGGATGCTGCCTATGTCTTGGGAGGGCGGGTGGGAGTGAGCGACACGGCTTGCGGCTTGGGGTCGTTCGATCATTGTTCCCCATTCATGAGTGCCCCCTCGCCTACCCGACGGGCAGACAACCCGGACCCATGCGGGCACCCATGAGGCCCTCCCCCCACCATCCCTGCCAACAAGACAAAACAGAAAACACTTTGCCTCCAAATTCAAAACATGCGCAAGCGCCCCGAGACCACTTTGCATAGACTGTTTGCAGGGGCGGCGGGGGTGCCGGCAGATGGCTTGCTGCGCGCAGGCCGACCATCCCTGCCAACACGCAGTGCAAACTACACTTTGCCACGTGGCGCACCCGGCGCGGCTGGAGCGCGTGTCACATTTGGCGCACGTGGAGCACATGGCGCGCCTGGCACGCTTGGGCCTCCAGGGTGCCTGGAGTGAGCGAGACGGCGTGGGCCTTGTGGGCAAGGAGGTGTCTTGACCCTGGGCCTGGACGAGGGGGGGCCGGCGGCGGGGAAAGAGTGTCCAAGATGGCTCCAAGAGGGCCTCCGAGAGGCCAAGATCACCTCCCAAATGGCTCAAGACAGCGCGAGGTCGCTCAATATGGCTGGCAACATGCTCCAAGAGGTCCCAAGATCGCTCCAAATCGGGTCCAAGCGGCCCTGGGACCTCGCAAAGAAGCCCCCAAGAGGCCCAAACCTTCCCAAACCAGAAGGACATACATGTTTTGTTGTTGTTGCTGCTGCTGCTGTTGTTGTTGTTGCTGTTGCTGTTGCTGTTGCTGTTGTTGTTGTTGTTGTTGTTGTTGTTGTTGTTGTTGTTGTTGTTGTTGTTGTATTCTCGCCCTTTCGCTTCCGACGGCCTTCGGAGGCCTCAAGATGGCTTCAAGACTGCCCAAGAGCGCCGCAAGAGAGCCCCATGAGGCGGTTTAAGGGCACCATATGGGGGACCCTAATTAAGGACCCCCCCTTATTCGATTCATGTCCTCCAAGATATTCCCAAGGCTCCCAGGAGGGCCTCAAGAAGGCTCCCAGAGGCCCCCGAGAGGCCCTCAAGAGGCCCCCAAGACGCGCCAAGATGCCCCCTGAGAGCCCCCTAAGAGGCCCCCAAGACGCCTTAAGAGGCCACCAAGAGCAACTCAGGAGACATCCCAAGCGACTCCGGGAGGCATTCCAGGTGCCCTCAGTTCATTGAGGCTCCCCGAGGTATCCAAATGATGCCACGCTCTCCCGAGAAGGGCAGCTCCCCTGGGCATCATTCTTTCTGCGGCCTGTTTCGAGCCGGATCGATCCGCGAGGGTCCCAGTGCCCGAAACAGGGCAAACTCGTCTGGTGCGAAACAAATGCGAAGCTACGATCTCACGGTAACGCTGTTCCATTCGGGTCCCTCGGGACTTGTCCCCCACCTGAGGGGGGGGGGGCTAGTAGGGCTGAGATACCATGCCAAACACGCGATGCCCTGATTTTGTCAGTACGGGGTCCCCAGAAGTCCTGATCCTTTGCTCAAGGCCGGTTTTTCATCCCGAGCCGTTTTTTGACAGTCCCTGGGCCACCGAAAGCTGAAAACGAAGCAATACGCTGGAGGTCTGGGATGGGGCTGACCCTAAGATCCGACGCTGCTACAAAAATCAGCACATCGCGAAAAATCGCGATCGGAGCCCCAGACCGCATCTTTCTGCGTTACGTTTCGAGCCAGATTGATCTGCGAGGGTCCCGCGGCCCGAAACTGGACGAAAACGCCCGTTGTGAAAAAATCGCGAAGCCACGATCTCAGAGGAGATGACGTGGTCCCATGGTCATGACGACAAGCTAGACGACGCTGCGCTCCGCTGTGCTCCCGACCCTTTTCCCAGGGCTGGCTCTTCCGCCTGAATCGTTTGCTGACAGTCCCGGGGCTCACCGAGGGCCCCCAGAGGCTGAAGACAACGGAAAGCCTTCGTGCTTTTTCTCGATGCGTTGAAGGTCTGGGGTCGCTATGGAGAGAAACCAATCCCGAGCGAACCCTGGACTCTTTCATGTTGCGTGGACCCCGAACACTGGTTTTCTGAGAAATCATCGGCGCAATCTCGATGGTGCAGTCAAGGTGTGGTGCAATCCAGGCGGCCACGGGGCCGCGACGGCGACCACACAGCCGCCAGACCGACGCGCAGACTCAGATCCTCAGAAAACACCTAAGAACCCCCGAGTGCAAGCATCGCCGAGGGAATCCCGAGCGAACTCTGGACTCTCTAAGGTTGGAAGGCGCTGTGCTCCGCGGGCTCGCCGACGGACCCCGCCAGCCCCGCGCCCTCTGCCGCGGGGGCCCCGCGCAGCCGCCGCTCCAGGGCGTGCAGCAGCTCCGCCAGCTGCAGGGCAGCCTGCTTCTGGCTCGCCTGGAGATCGTGCTTTTCGGCGCTGACTTTCGACTGCACGCAAGAGTGACCCCGGGTAAGAGTGACCTCTGGTGCGCGGCTCCTTGGGGGCCGCGGGGGGACCAAGCACAAGCGCGCCAGACGCCAATACCGCATCGCGTTCGGCGATCGGGGGACCCCATTGGGCCCGCACCAAAGGTCGCTCCGGCCGAAGGTCACTCTTACGTGTAGTCGAGATTCGTCATGCCTGGAAAGCGATTATTGTTGATCCCCCTTCGGTGACCATTGTATTTTTTCAATTCAGGTGCCCCTCCCGGGGCTCGCACCCTGTTTTCTTGGTCAGGAAAAATTCTGGTATCACCCAAACTGTGTCCCTGGCCCCCGGGTCTACAACACCAGCGGCTCAAATCTGATACTTCGTCACAACTTATTGCAACTTCGCGCTCTCGCGCGGGACATCCTCAGCATGTGTGCAGGAATCGTGCTCTCGCGTACTACTTCTGAACATATTGCTGCGGCGCCGTGCCCCCCCAAGCTCACAAATCACGCTCACTGCGGATTTCCTCACGATTTACTCGGCAATCGTGCTTTCCCTCGAAACTTCTTTGCGATTCATGTTGGATTAACGCTTCAGCGACCCGCCCGCTCGACCCGGCCGTCTGGGCACGCCCGCCCGACCTGTCTGTTAGGGTCCGCCCGCCCGACCCGCCCGTCTGGATCTGCCGCTTGTACTCCTGCTCCTAACCCTCCTCCTGCAAATCTCTCTCGTGCTCTATCCTTCTCCCTCCCCCTTGTCTGTGCCCTCCCCTCTTCCTTCCGCTGTCTTCGGGGCTGCGCAAACTACACGCGGCAGGTAGAGAAGATACCCCCAAGGGGGATACGATCGAAGACAAAGAGGACAGGTACCCAGGGTTTGGAATATGCTTGCTGAGTGGCACGCGAGCAGAGAAGAGCGAACAATCATAAAATGATGGTTGAACTCTCATTTCTAAAGAATTATTGTTGATCCCCCCTCCGGTGACCACTATATTTTTCAATTGAGGTGCCCCTCCCAGGGCTAGCACCTGTTTTTGGTCAGGAAAATCTTGGTATCACCAAACTGTGCCCCTGGCCCCCGGTTTACAACAAAAGCGGCTCAAGCCTGACACTCCCTGACAACTTATTTCAATTTCGCGCTCTCGCGCGGGACTTCCTCATTATGTATGCAGGAATCGCGCTCTCGCGTGTTACCTCCTCACAAATTATTGGGGCGCCGTGCCCCCAAACTCGAGAATCGCGCTCTCGCTCTGGTCCCAACGACTTACTTGGGAATCGCGCTTTCGCTCGAAACTTCCTTCATCGTGGGTTAACGCTTCAGCGACCCGCCCGCTCGACCCGGCCGTCTGGGCGCGCTCCCCGACCTGTCCGTTGGGGTCCGCCCACCCGACCCGCCCGTCTGGCTCTGCCGCTTGTGCTCCTGCTCCTGACCCTCCTCTTGCAAATCTCTCTCGTGCTCCATCCTTCTCCCTCCCCCTTGTCTGTGCCTTCCTCCCCTCCTTCCCCTGTTGTAGACGCGCCAGCTGCACGCGGCAGGTGGGGAAGATATGCCCCCAGGGGGGGGTATGATCCAAGACAAAGAGGGCGGGTACCAAGGGTTTCTCATATATTGGTTGAGAGGCACGCGAGCAAATAAGAACGAGCATTCATACAATGATTGTTGAATTCTCGCTTCTCAAGAATAGTTATGATTGGTCCACACATCGGTGACCATTGTGCTTTCAACTAAAGTGTTCCTCTCCGGGCTCGCATGCAGTTTTTTTTATCAAGGAGAGTCTGTGGTCACCAAAACTGTGCCCCTGGCCCCTGGCTTGCGACAACAGCGGTTCCCGCCTGATGCGCCCTCACAATATATTTCGAATTCGCACTCTCCCGCGGGATTTCCACATAATTGATGCAATGAAAGCGCTCTCGCGCTTGACTTTCTCATGATTCATTGCGGCGCCGTGCCCCCAAGACTCACACGCACGCTCTCGGTGTGGAGTTCCTCACGATTTTCTTGGGAATCACGTTGTCGCTGGGACCTTTCTTCTTCATTTCTTCATCAGGTGTTGATGCTTTAGCAACCCGCCTGCTCGACCTGGCCGTTTGGGCCCGCCCGCCCGACCTGCCCGTTGGGGTCCGCCCGCCCGACCCGCCAATTTTTTGTCTGCCGCTTGTGCTCCTGCTCCTGACCCTCCTCCTGCAATTTCTCTCGTGCTTCATCCTTTTCCCTCCGCCTTGTCTGTTCACTCCTCCTCTCCTTCCCCTTTTGTCGGGGCTGCGCCAACTACATGCGGCAGGTAGGGAATACATACCCCCAAGAAAAAACACGATCGAAGACGAAGAGGGCGGGTACCGAGGGTTTGGGATAGCCGTGTTTAATGGCACGCGGGAAAATAAGAACGAACCATTCTGAACTGCTTGTTGTTGTTGTTGCTGCTGCTTCTGCAGTTGTTGTTGTTGTTCTTGAACTCTCACTTCTAAAATGAGTATTTTTGAGCCCCCCTCTGGCGACCATTGTAATCTTTGATCTTAGTGTTCCTTCCGGGGCTTTTACTTTCTTTTTTTTACAAAGAAAAATCTTGGGGCTCAGATTGGGTCCATGGCCGTGGACTTACAACAACGACGGCTCCCGCCTGATACCTTCTCACAATTTATTCCGGCATCGCGCTCTCGCGCGGGGCTTCCTCACAAATTATGCATGGATCGCGGTCTTGCGTGGGACTGCCTTGCAATGTATTCAGACGCCGCGAAATCGACACTCAAGAATCATGCTCTCGCCTCAACCTTTCTGACGATTCACTCGGAAATCGTGCTATCGCTCGAGACTTCATCGCGATCCATGCAAGACTCACGCTTCAACGACCCGCGTGTTCGACCTGGCCGCCTGGGCCCACCTTTCCGACCCGCCCGCTAGGGTCTGCCCACCCGATCTATCCGTCTGGTTCTGCCACGTGTTTTCTGCTCCTCGCCCCCCTCCTGCTAATTTCTCTCGTGCTCCATCCTTCTCCCTCCCCCATCCATCTGTCCTCTTCCCATGTCTTATGGGCTGCGGTAATGCACGTGGCACGTAAGGAAGGCATACCCCCAAGGAAATACGATCGAAGACGACGAAGGCAAGTACCGAAGGTTTGGGGTATACGTGCTGAATGGCACGCGAGCGTGACATAGCGAATCATCTTGAATTGATTGGTTGTTGTTGTTGTTGTGGAATTCGCATTTCCAAATCATAATTATTACTGATCCCCCTCCGGTAACCAATCTTCTGTTTTTTCAATTGAAGTGCTCCCCTCGGGGCTCGTATTCTTTTCTTCTATCAGAGAAAGCTTGGTGCCACCAAGCTGTATTGTGGGGCCCCGAACTACAACAACAACGGCTCCCGCCTGATACTCTTCACATTTCTTCGAGAATGTGCTCTCGCGCGGGACTTTCCTCACACATTATGAAGGAATCGCGCTGTCGCGTGGGACTTTATCGCATTTTATCCAGACGCCGAGCCCTCGACACTCAGGGATCATGCTGTCGCTGTGACCTTTCTCACGATTTATTTGGGAATCGCGCTATCGATCGAACTCCCCTCGCGATCCATGTAAGGCTCACGCTGCAACAGCACGCCTTCTCGATCTGGCCGCTCGGGCCCGCCTTTCCGACCCGCACCTTAGGGTCTACCCGCCCAGTGGGCCCGTTTGGCACTGCCGCTTGTGCTCCTGCTCCTGACCCTCCTCCTGCAATATCTCTCGTGCTCCATCCTTCTCCCTTTCCCTTGCATCCGTCCACTCTTCCCCTGCTTCAGGGGCTGCACCAATCACGTGCGGGAGTTGAAGAAAATATGCCCCTACGGGGTACCATCGAAGACCAAGAGGGCGGGTACCGAGGGCTTGGTATATACGCGTTGGCTGACGCGCGAATCGGACATAATGATTAATATCAAACTGATTGTTGTTGTTGCTGCTGTTGTTGTTGTGGTTGAATTTTCACTTCAGAATAATAACTATTGTTGGCCCCCCCCCTCCGGTAACTATTCGGTTTTCTCCAATTGCAATGCTCCCCTGGGGGCTCGCACCCTGTTTTCATCAGGCAAAGATTGGTCTCACAAAACTGTGTTGTTTGGCCCCGCACTCCAACAATAACGGCTCCCGCCTCACAGTTCGCCACAATGTATTTCGCAATCGCGCTCTCGCGCAGGACTTTCGTCACACGTTATACAGGAGTCGCGCTGAGGCGTTGGACTTTCTCGTCGTTAATTCACACGCCCCGACCTCGACACTCATGAATTTCGCTTTTGACCTCTCTGACGATTTACTCGGGAAACGCGCTATCGCTAATGGTCTCCCTGCGATTCATGCAGCATCCCGCTTCAGCAACACGCCTTCTCAACCTGGCCGCTTGGGGACGCCTTCCCGATCCGCCCAATCGGATATTCCCGCCCGATCTGCCCGTCTGGTTCTGCCATCTGTTTCCTGCTCCTGGCCCCCTTCCTGCTAATCCCGGTCTCCATGCTTCTCCCTCCCCGTTCCATCCGTTCATGTTTCCCCTGTTTCAGGGGCCGCGCGAATTACACGCGGCAGGTAAGGAAGGTGTCCCCCCAAGGGGTACGATCGAAGACGAAAAGGGCGGGTTCCGAAGGTTTGGGATATACCTGTTCAGTGGCACGAGAGCAGGTAAGGGCGAACAAACCCAAGCATATTGTTGTTGTTGTTGTTGTTGTTGTTGTTGTTGTTGTTGTTGTTGTTGTTTTTGCTGTTGAGCTCTCATGTCTAAAGACAAGTATTGTTGGTATCCCCCTTGTGTAACCGTTATACAGTCCAATTAAAATGCTGCTCCAGGGGCTCGCACCCTTTTCTACATGGGGGCACTTACATGTCCACAGTGTATACAGGGATCGCGCTCTCGCGTGGGACTTCCTTGCAATTTATTCAGACGCCGCGCCCTCGACACTCAAGCATGAAGCTTTCGCTGAGGATTTCCTCACGACTTACTTGGGGACCGCGTTATCGCTCGAG